GTTTTTACAGACTCCTTTTCATGCACTGTACATGTCCTATATATGCCTGAAGAGCCAGCGGCCCAGTGCTACCTAGGTGCCCCCCCCCCCCCCCCCCCCCCCCCCCCCCCCCCCCCCCTCCTCCTCCTCTCTCACTGCTCAGGCAGAATAATGTTAACGTCAAACACGAATTGTTTCGCCTTATGATAGTTTAGCGTGAAGGTCACGCTGCAAGCCAAACACCGTTCCACCTTCTTGGTAAAGAATTTATACCCATTGTTGCTGTCAGCACTGCATTGACATAGAAAACACTTAACTGTGTCTTTGTTTGCATTCTTTCCCTATCTTTCTACAGTTCTATTGACTGCTTATTGAATGTAACACCAAGCAAGGTTTCCAGATGGCAGGTAAGTAAAGTTCAAGTTGGGAGAATGTAAAATCAATCTGCCTCCCCACATCCAGGCATTCCATCATCGTTCCCATCGGTTTACTCATCTGTCCTTCCGGCCGCCTGTTTAATCATCCCTCCAACGCTCCAGCCCTTCATGCCATCATCCCTCCATCTCATACTATTATGTCCTCACTCACTCCCTCCATCTATCTCTCCGATCATCCAGCCATAAACCCATCCATCCACCTACTAATCTAACAAACCACCCTCCCATCCATCCATCCGTCCATCCACCCATCAATCCATCTATCTATCCACCCACCCATCTGTCTACCCATCCGCCCATCCGACCATCCATCCATCCATCCATCCATCCATCCATCCATCAATCCATTCATCTATTCATCCACCCTTCAATCCATCTATCCATCCACCCATCCATCCCTCCATCCATCCCTCCATCGACTAGTCCGCCCATCTATCCATCCACACATCCCTCCAAGTACCCATCCCTCCATCCACTAGTCCGCCCATCTATCCATCCATCCCTCCATCCATCCCTCCATCCACTAGTCCGCCCATCTATCCATCCATCCCTCCATCCCTTCATACATCCATGCATTCATCCATCGAGGTACATTATATCCCTCTATCTATGCGTCGCGATAGCCAGCTATCTATTCATCCAGCCAGTAACCTAGCCAGCCCTGAAGCCAGAGACCCAGCCCTCCAACCATCCAGTCATCTGTCAGTCAGACTTTCCACCCCCTCGCTTGTCCGTAAATACATCCACTACCTGTCGGCAAGCCTGTCAGTCTGCCAATACATTTACTGTAAAACCTGTGACTAACGACCACACCTTGGTGCCAGAGATAGCGGTCTTTAGTGGCAGGTGGTCCTCAGTTAGAGGTTTGCACCGCACAACCATAATTAATATGAATGTGAGTCCGTCCGTGCCTGGCAAAGTGGTCTGTAGTACCAGGCTGGTCGCTAGTCACGACATTAGGTTGCAAGTGAAGAGCTGAGATGCAGAACCTGATACGGGCAAATCTTGTGAAAATCATATGTTCAGCTTAGTGTCATTAATAGGTCTCAGGGCAGCACGAGGAAAAATGTCACACTCTAATACTTACTAGAACCATTTCAAAATAGGAGCCCAAGTATGGCTTAGCCCAGGCCCACGGGTACACACCCAGGCCTGCGGGCACACCTCCGCCTACGCACACTCGCAGGCGCTTGGGCGCAGACACACACATTCATGTGCACAAACAAAAATGCAGACACTCCCACGCACCTGGTTGTGCTTTCAACGCCGTACCCATGCGCACGCACCACTCACAGCACTATGTCAATATTGAGCGTGTGCCAGGGCTAAATATACCTTGCTGCCCAAAGCACACATGTTACATACAAACCGCACATAAAATGAATTCTTTTTTGGCCACTATTCAAAAAGTGATGAAATAGATGTAGCGGGTTGTCCAGCTCTTCAAGTTCCCATTGCAAATACACTTATGGTGATTTTTGTGCTTGTGAAGCTGACACATTTCTCTTTGATTTTTGGTCTTGTTCTCTGTAGGCAACCCGTACAAAACAACGGAGTTTGTCTCCAAAATTCACGTGTGGTTACAAGATGTTGACCCTGATCGGCTTCGTCGTCTAGTTCAGAAAGAAGGACTAATCAGCTTTGACCAACTGGAACGTTTGAGGAAGATACAAGACCAAAAGGGAACGGCTGAACACAATGCACAATTGATTTCAATACTTTGTCCTGGAGAGACAAAATCCTATCAGGTCTTATGTTCAGTGATCCACCAAATGGGCTACTTTGACCAACACTTGGAGATGCTTCGTATTGTAGCTAACCCAGAGCAAGGTGATACTTGATGCTGTTTTGATTAGTGTAATGAACGTTCTGTAAATTATCAGCAGTCTGTGCATGTTACCCTGTGTATGCCTTATAACTGTGTTCTGCACGCAATGCAAGCTCTATCAACTAACAGCACAGAAGAAGATTTCCATCATAGCCAGCAATCGCATGTCATCACGTACATTCAAAATCAACATAATTTTGCGAATCGACCTTTTTTTCAGGATCATTTTTCAACGAGGACGAAGTAAAGTCGGCCGAACGAAGCCTAGAGGAAGAAAATCATCCTCTCCACTTCACCATCACGATACTGACATAGATACGAGATGAAAGAACTAAAAAATCCACAAGAAAACTGTACGGCCATCATCGCGCTGACTTTGGTCTGACTTTGGTCTGAGAATTTCTATCACGATCAAAAATGTACGAGGAGCACTCAAAAATACGCCACAGACGTACCTTTATCGCTCTCTACTCCTTTTTCAAGGCACAAAAGTCGACTCTCCACTTTCAAACCAGGAACTAGACATACCAGTGGTCCTTTTCAGCTGCTCCACGAGCGCAGGAGATGTTCACCAAGGGGCGCAGAGCAGCATCCATTCCAGAAAAAGAGCTAAAATACGAGTGAGACTGCATGCCTGAGTACATGAGTACATGTATGAGTACATGCAGAAAATAGTCAATTTCAGCGTTTCTGCTCCAAACAGCAACTGGCTTCGACTAGAAACAAAGATTACACCAAAGGATCAAACAACAACCATTTTCTGCCGTTTTTTTGCAGATGACTTCCTTGTGCTTGGCCCAGCACGCCAAAAATCACACCTCGGAGGAGTACAAAAATTACAACTCTCAGATGTCCTCGATTGCTGGCCATGTGCTGGTCTCTTTAGCCTTGTAGTGTAATTCCGTTCTGGTTAGGTAATGGGTGGCCAGCAGATCATTCACAAAGTATAAAAAGGCTAGGGTATGGCCAGACCAATCAAGAAACTGCTTCTGCCAGTCCTGTGGTATCGGATTAGACATTGGTATCGGATTAGACATTGGTATCGGTGAGTCGTGGCGGTGGCAGTCAACTCTCTGAAGCTTGGGAATAATTATTATGATGTCATGACTGTGGGGTTTTCTATTTTCCTTCTTTGTATTCATTTTGTCCCGTGACCAGAATTGCTATCCAGTGTTGGGCAACCAGAGTCAGCCAACACCATAGCAACCAGTGCAGACCCAACTGCAATCATGCCAACTGAAGACCACCCCACAGCAGCGGCTCCCTCATCAGGATATGCAGCGTATCAATCCACTCCAGGGACAACGAGTACATCGCCACTTGGACAGCAAGTAGCACCACTGTGTCCACCGATGAAAAGCAGAACTGCAGCAGCAAGACGAGGAGCAGAGGGAGGAGAAGCAGCTGGAGCAACAGCAGCAACAACAACAGCAGCAGCCGCAGCAGCAGCAGGGGCAATGGCAGGAGCAGCAGCAACAGCAGCAGTGGCAATGGAAGGAGCATTAGCAGTAGCTTCATCAGCAACTGTATTAACCCCTCAAGCATCACTCCAGGCAAGGCTTCCAATTGGAACGGCAATGCCAGAACGTGCGCATGGAGCAACAGCAGAGTCAGAACTAGGAGCAACAGCCACAGTATCAGCTGTACCAGCACTTCATCATTGCCATTATTCAGGTGAGTTTTGCCTAGCTGACATTCTAAGGGGACGAGACAGGAAGCAACGTAAGAAGTTACGGGAAGTTGCAGTGATGGTCATGGTCGCAAAGGACTACATCGACAATGAACGCCAGAAACAGGAGTACAACCGTATTACCGTGTACTTTATATTATTTATGTGTAATTCGGGATAGTCCAGGAGTGTGTCAGACGAACCTGATAAATCAATTCCTATGGTAATGCAGTGCTGCGAACGAAATCGGTCTGTTTTGCGTACTTCGACTTCTGATTTTCCGTGTTTTTCAGTGCTTGTCCGTGCTACCGATGTACTACCATGTGCATTGCTTGTATTGTGCTTTTTTTACACCCACATGCATGTCGGTGACTGAATTTGCTAGCAAAGCACGTGCGACTGTACCACGACATAATATTTTGTGCTACATGTAGTCGAAGCATGGTATGCACTTGCTATGGCATATGGATGTGCATCGCTCAGCTTGCACTCACCATGCATCTACATACATATCTGTAGCTGGTCGATACTCTTCAAATTTCAGTACCATTTTGCTCAAATTCCGTACTGCGGACGAAGGAGTGATTTTCCATACCCATACATAAAAATACGGAAGGTTGGCAGCACTGGCAATGAAAAACAAGAATTAAGGCCTTGAGTAAACTGATCACGGCCCATAGCTTTATCATTCACGATGAGTTTTTGAATTCTTTATTCTCACGATGACACCATCGCCAATAAGAGATAAATTTATGAGAAGGTGAGATTGTGGGTTAAACAGTTGGAAAGTGATTTACATCACTTTGAACTTTACAAGTATGGGAGAGGGTGAGCGCTGCAGGAGCAGATTGAGTTAATCAGCAGTGAGCAGATTTCTTGTTTGAAAGCAGGTCGGGAGGAGACATCACGAATGCTAGCGTTATGCTGGCTATTGTAATAGCTGCTGCATGTCATACTGTACGGATAGTCAGACCGTGTACAGGTCCCCCCAGCCATCCATACAGTTTCTACATCCTGTTTCATCAGCTTTACGGTGAATGAGAAATAGCCCTGAACGATTTCGCAGAATGGCATGAACTGAGGTGTCCTGGCACCAGCCAATCACCATGGAAGCATTCTTAATCAATGGAATTTGATGTTTGAGTGTTTTTATGCTCATATAATGTATGCAGCCTGAAATCATATAATCCGTTTGTGGATGCGGACATGTCTGTGTGTTTGTGTACCATGGCAGGTGCACAACCTCCTATTGCTCGGCAGCCCGGTGCAGCCTTAGCTTGCTCCTCCACTGGTAGATCACCATCATCAATGTCAGGTCCTTCTACTACGGCAGAGACTACATTTGGTCTTAGCCAGACCTGTATGAGTGCACCCACCCAAGCCACTCCAACACATCCCATTGCCAGCTCAGCTAACACTAGCACTGGCAGCTTTACAGCTGATGGTAATGCTGCTAGGAGAGGAACTGCAATGCAGCAGAGTACACAGCAACCAGCGTCAGTCCACCTTGAAAACACGGCACAGCTGGCAGCAGCTGCTGTAGTTTTTTCTTCACTGCCTCTGGAGCCGCAAGCCAAGAGGGCACTACTAAGCAATGTTGGCAGAGCATTCACGGAGGAAATGTCCAGGCATATTGACTATGTGTCAGCTCCAAGTATGGCTCATACCAGCCCAGGTAAGCACTATGTCTATGTCCTTGGAGGCGTGTGTGCCTGTTATCTACAATGTGCATGTGGTAGGGGGGGGGGAGGGGAGGGGAGAGGAGGGGAGGGGGAGGGGAGGGGGAGGGGAGGGGGATGGAGAGGGAGAGGGAGAGGGAGAGGGAGAAAGAGATATGAGGGTATCGAGCACTCTCTGCACAGAGGAAGTAATTCTTGTGTGTGACTTTACTCATACACATTCTCTCTAACTTTAGTTGCCATAACTGGTGACCTGAATTCACAGAACATCAGTAGAGAAGATTTCAAACTTTTTGCACAAGTGACTGCTCCAATGTGACTGTTCCAATTTGCCCTTCTGTGTGTTCCAGATTCTCAGGCCTCTCTGCTGCAGAAGTCTCAGTTCCTCCTGGACAGCCCCGAAATGTCTGAAAGTGACTCACGGTTTTCCGGCTCTGCTGCTAGCTCAGACACCGAAGGTAAGGTATGTAGGGCATGCCTTATATGGGCATTTAGGACATGTTGGATTGTGCAAATCTGTGGGCCTGGGATCCAGATTCGCAATCTTTGGACGTGTTTGACGGTTAGAATCAGGATCCAGGTGGCATAGATTCGGATCTGGTCAACCCACCCCCCAAAGAAGGATTGGACAGAGTCAACGGATCCATTCTTGCTCTGAACCCAAACTTGCACCAGGTGAATATTGATATCAATTAGCCATTCTACGATATCAGCCTTCTTTGACTAGAATGTGTTTATACAATACTGCTGTTTGAATAAACTGAGTACCAACGGAAGTGGCACATTAAAACCAGGTGATTTCTGGCTGGAACTAAGGCTGACCAGGACATAATCATATGCTGGTATATCACGGCTCAGATTCGCCTTGTGTGACCCAGAATACACCTTGATGCTAAATTCTTGGATCAGGAATATTTTGATTCCCAATATTGTGCATTGGCTACTCAGGTTTGCAATAAATTAACAGCGAATGTATGTTGTTGTGCTTTCTTCCGTATCAATTCCTCAACAATGTGTATGACCAGGATGGACAGAAGATGATCTGCGCAATGCTAGAGTCACGGTTTTTGTGGACAGCAAACTCAGGACATCTGCTGACTGTGATGGAATTATCTTGGACAGTTTATCTAAGCAGCACTTCAATGAGACCAATATCAGAATCAAATCGACGAGCAGAAGAAGTGATCCTGCGCTCACAAGTGTTGAAGGAAAAGGTTTGTAATATCCTGTTCTCTACCGTTTTCATGTACATTTGAATGTGTACAGCTAAGTTTGGACAAATTCTACTACTGTACTCAGCCACAGGCTGGTAGACCAATACTAGTGTCTGCTCCAGGATGATTTCAAACCAACCATGTACATCTGTACCTGATGTTTAAGTATGGCTACTGCATGTGCACTCATCGATGCATGGCTGGTGATAGTAGATATACATAATCATCTTGCACATCAGCCAGGCATCTGCAGAGAGAGAGAGAAAACTGCATGATGGCGCTTTGAAATCACTATGTACATCAAGTGCAGTCGACGGGAAAACACAAATTCAAGCATTGTAAGCAGTTGTTGTATCCATGCAATCAGTACCCAGACTCAGAAGTTACTAAGAGGGGTGCAGACCACATAAATGTAGCCATCTTCACGATGAGGTCAGCGCCACCCATGTGCCAACCAGAATTGCTGCTGGCTTAGGTGTCTGGGCGGGCATGTGCGTGTGCAGACCTACATTACTCACAATACATGTTTATATGGGTGTGATGTGTGTATGTGAGCATGTGTCTGTTTGTGTGTGTGTGCATGTGTGTATGTGAGCATGTGTCTGTTTGTGTGTGTATGTTTGTGTCCGTGTGTGTGTGTGTGTGTGTGTGTGTGTGTGTGTGTGTGTGTGTGTGTGTGTGTGTGTGTGTGTGTGTGTGAGCATGTGTCTGTGTGTGTGTGTGCGGTCATGTACGTGAATCTACATGTGTCCTGCAGGAGGAGATATTAGGACATTGGTCAAAATCATCATCAACGGACAACCTGACGACTACACTAAACATAGGATCCGAAGGGAAGTGATTGAGGACCTGGAGGACCTTACCTTCTCCAAGGATAAAATTCAGGTCATCTACACAGGCGCCTGGGATTCCATCCAGGTGGTACTGCTGCTACCAATGAGGACACTGGGTCATCTACTCTACCTTGCAGTACACTATCCTGGACTGCTGCGAGGCCTGGATATACTTCAAATCATTGACATCTCCTCATTGACCATAATTGACTTTCGAGAGATAACAGGTATTTTGCTACTATGTGTTGTGTGTTTTTCTGTGTCTGAGGTTGTGTGTGTGTATGTGTGTGTGTGTGTGTGTGTGTGTGTGTGTGTGTGTGTGTGTGTGTGTGTTTGTGCACACGTGTATGCACGTGTAGGTGCATGTGTATGTGTGTGTGCATGTATGCATGCATGTGTGTATGTGTGTGTGTCCATCCGTGTGTGTGTGTGTGTGTGTGTGTGTGTGTGTGTGTGTGTGTGTGTGTGCATGCGTCCTTGCTTGCTTGCCTCTGCGTACATGTGTGTGTGTGTGAGTGTGTGTCCTAGTGTATACCTGAGTTTTAAAACACCTGCGCTAGTCAAAGAAACTGTTCTTTCAGCTGCCATTCCTCTCTCTGTGCTTTCAGCTGCCATTCCTCTCTCTGTGCTTTCAGCTGCCATTCCTCTCTCTGTGCTTTCAGCTGCCATTCCTCTCTCTGTGCTTTCAGCTGCTATTCCTCTCTCTGTGCTTTCAGCTGCCATTCCTCTCTCTGTGCTTTCAGCTGCCATTCCCCTCTCTGTGCTTTCAGCTGCCATTCCTCTCTCTGTGCTTTCAGCTGCCATTCCTCTCTCTGTTCTTTCAGCTGCCATTCCTCTCTCTGTGCTTTCAGCTGCCATTCCTCTCTCTGTGCTTTCAGCTGCCATTCCTCTCTCTGTGTTTTCAGCTGCCATTCCTCTCTCTGTGCTTTCAGCTGCCATTCCTCTCTCTGTGCTTTCAGCTGCCATTCCTCTCTCTGTGCTTTCAGCTGCCATTCCTCTCTCTGTGCTTTCAGCTGCCATTCCTCTCTCTGTGCTTTCAGCTGCCATTCCTCTCTCTGTGCTTTCAGCTGCCATTCCTCTCCCTGTGCTTTCAGCTGCCATTCCTCTCCCTGTGCTTTCAGCTGCCATTCCTCTCTCTGTGCTTTCAGCTGCCATTTCTCTCTCTGTGCTTTCAGCTGCCATTCCTCTCCCTGTGCTTTCAGCTGCCATTCCTCTGTCTGTGCTTTCAGCTGCCATTCCTCTCTCTGTGCTTTCAGCTGCCATTCCTCTCTCTGTGCTTTCAGCTGCCATTCCTCTCTCTGTGCTTTCAGCTGCCATTCCTCTCTCTGTGCTTTCAGCTGCCATTCCTCTCCACTGTGCTTTCAGCTGCCATTCCTCTCTCTGTGCTTTCAGCTGCCATTCCTCTCTCTGTGCTTTCAGCTGCCATTCCTCTCTCTGTGCTTTCAGCTGCCATTCCTCTCTCTGTGCTTTCAGCTGCCATTCCTCTCTCTGTGCTTTCAGCTGCCATTCCTCTCTCTGTGCTTTCAGCTGCCATTCCTCTCTCTGTGCTTTCAGCTGCCATTCCTCTCTCTGTGCTTTCAGCTGCCATTCCTCTCTCTGTGCTTTCAGCTGCCATTCCTCTCTCTGTGCTTTCAGCTGCCATTCCTCTCTCTGTGCTTTCAGCTGCCATTCCTCTCTCTGTGCTTTCAGCTGCCATTCCTTTCTCTGTGCTTTCAGCTGCCATTCCTCTCTCTGTGCTTTCAGCTGCCATTCCTCTCTCTGTGCTTGTGCCAATCTCAATCGTGCTTGAAAGCGTTGATTTCAGAAGTCGTCGAAAGTCGAAATCTAACCTAAATTACCCACTTTTGTATCCACTCTGCTCATGGCGAAGTATAGGATGTAATGAGTGGACCCCTCGTGCTGCATAATCATGACAATAGGTGTGACATTTTCTATACCAGGAGTGGGGCTCTGTCTGGGAGAGCCCAGTGCAGTCACTTAGAATAGATGTATCACTGTGCTGCGTAGGAGAGCCACCCAAATGTGTAAAATCCATACAAAAAGGATCCTAGCTGATCCATAAGTCTGAGTTGTCATGGCACTGGACTGGCTGTGACGTAGGTCTTTTAAGCCCTAATGCTGTCTGAGCACTCCTGGTAGTCTACTGCTCAATTTAATCCCGGAAAACAAGAATTTGGTATTTGAGTCAAAAACTGGTCCAAACCAGGTTTGGCATACTTCAAAGTAATTCTGTCTATGTTCTTGATATGAAGTATGTCTTTCTGCTGTTGTACTCTTAGGCAGTGTGGTCTTAGACGAATTGGCAGATGATAATGAGGATCTGTCAGAGGATGATGATGAGGATGAAGATGAGAGCGAGATAAATGAGCTGGAGTTTTTGAAGCGCACCAACATGGCTGACATTGCTGAGCACCATATTTCGCAACGGGAATATGATCTGCTCAACAATCGAAGTACCGGTTTCCAGTCGGTGCTGGCAGCCATAATGAGGTCACACAGGAAAGACAAGAATTTCATGAGAGCAATTAGCGCTGGCATTGGCAACAGTAAGTTCATAATTCAAGTGACTAGTATGAGAATGGATTACTACTGGATTACTAGTATTTGTGATAATGCACTGCTCATTTCAGTGAAGGCAATTTGCCTGCAAACAAATTATTTATAAAGAAGCTGCGGGAGGCGCCTCGTCTTTCAGAATTTTGAATATGAGAATGCTTATTGTACATGGCCCAGAATCTGCGAAAACCAGGTTACAGGTTTGGGTGGAATCATAGTGATATCAAAATAACTCAAACACAGCAGGGTATTGTGTTCAAAATCCGAAAAAAAACATTAAATCGTTATCTGCAAATAATCGACGCGGAGACAACAATTTTATAATAGCTATAAAGAGAACAAATTCTGCTGTCATCGCCACACTACACCAAAGTCATGAAGGTTTACCAAAATCGATTTTCTTGTCACAATCATCAGTGGAAAGCCGTGACTGAAGAATAACCATGCCAAATCAATAATTTATATACATTCAATAATGTGTTACGAGAACAAAACAAAGTGCTAAAAATAGAATGAGGGAAGGTGAGACAATAGAAGTAAAGTGAGAGCTAAGTGCAACAGGGGTGAGGAACTAATGGCAACGCTAGAACTGTGTAGTGAGACAAACAATCATGCTGTGCACCTACGAAAACAATCTTAACGCAACTACATGTTTCTTCTGCTTACAAAGATCAGGCTTATGCAAACGAATACAAACAGCCTCAAGTACTTTCAACTGACTAGCGTACCGTGCACGACAAAGAACAGAAAAACTAAAATCATCATACACATGCAGACACTTAGGGTGAGACAACAGATGAAGAAAAACGGCAGACTTCTTACGATCACAATCACCATCCGATTCCTCGTCTCCACCAACCGCAACCTCGTCCCCCGTCTCATCTTCCAACTCGTCCTCAGTGTCGTCCTCCGTGTCATTCTCCTCATCACCACCGATCGGTCCCAGCCTCGCTTCATGTTGCTGAACCTCTGTTCGTTGACTCCTCCTTTGATCTTGATGGACACAATGCACCATAAAAACACAAGAAAGTACACCACAACAACATCCAGCTCAAGACCAAAGTGGACTCTGCGGCGAGGTGATCATGGTGATGCCCCCATCGCCATCATTGCCGTTGCCTCCCCCAGAACCGCCACCTGCATCTGCCATCGGCAGTGCTGGGGCTGAGTCTGTGGTGTCGCTGGCACGGGCAAATATGGATGAGGTAAGCACTGAACATGAACAAGAAGAAAGAAGGCTGAAGGAAACGGAATTCAACAGAGAAAACAACACGATCAACATTCAAAGACCTAGACGATCAACGGCTAATTATTCAATGAATTATTACAGTACTGGACGTCAAGCACCGGCGAAGACACTGGGAACAGAAGATTTAGCAACAACAGGAACAACAACAATGACAACAACAACAATGGTATCAAATTACAATCAAGATCAAAGGAGGAGTCAACGAACAGAGGTTCAGCAACGTGAAGCGAGCCTGGGACCGATCGGTGGTGATGAGGAGAATGACACGGAGGACGACACTGAGGACGAGTTGAAAGATGAGACGGGGGACGAGGTTGCGGTGGAGACGAGGAATCGGATGGTGATTGTGATCGTAAGAAGTCTGCCGTTTTTCTTCATCTGTTGTCTCACCCTAAGTGTCTGCATGTGTATGATGATTTTAGTTTTTCTGTTCTTTGTTGTGCACGGTACGCTAGTCAGTTGAAAGTACTTGAGGCTGTTTGTATTCGTTTGCATAAGCCTGATCTTTGTAAGCAGAAGAAACATGTAGTTGCGTTAAGATTGTTTTCGTAGGTGCACAGCATGATTGTTTGTCTCACTACACAGTTCTAGCGTTGCAATTAGTTCCTCACCCCTGTTGCACTTAGCTCTCACTTTACTTCTATTGTCTCACCTTCCCTCATTCTATTTTTAGCACTTTGTTTTGTTCTCGTAACACATTATTGAATGTATATAAAGTATTGATTTGGCATGGTTATTCTTCAGTCACGGCTTTCCACTGATGATTGTGACAAGAAAATCGATTTTGGTAAACCTTCATGACTTTGTTGTAGTGTGGCGATGACAGCAGAATTTGTTCTCTTTATAGCTATTATAAATCGTTATCACAGGAAATAAATGAAGAGAGATCCACGTCCACCAGATTGAAGGAGGAGACATGGATGATTTTTGTTTGCATGACAAAACAAGGTAGATATGTGAGGGCAGGCTTGTTGTGGCCTCTTGGTGCTGCAGGGTGTATTGGCCATGGACAGTTCGGCATGAATTTACTTTGCCCCTCACTCAGCACATCCTGGGGCTGAATACATGTCCTGGCGTGCTCTGACGCGACACACCACAAGGAAACCTGACTCCAGTTGACATCATGGTACTTTTTGAAGGGTGAATCTAGTACAACTGTTCAGAAACAAGCAAGAATACGGCCTTTCAAGCTGTCCCACTGTTCATAGTATGCACATAGTGTGCTGGCGTGCTGCAGTGTCTGCTTGGTGCTGACCAGCAAGTGAAATCTTGGCACGCTGTACCGGTGCAGCTAGATTGCTAGTGAGGAAAGTCTCGAGTGGGGGCCTCTCAATCTGCTCGCTCATTTGCCTGGCATTCAGTAGCACTTCATCGCCAAGGACTTCCATTGAAAACAGTTTTCACACTGCTCTTGCAACTTTTTTCCTCGTGAACTTGCTGCAAACGCATCAGCTCTGCTGCGCGTTTTCGCTTTGCGTGAGGCCCAGCAACAGCTAGTGCCTCCGTACTTCGACTGGCTGGATCGATGTCGTCCAGGCTTTGCTCGTTGTCACCATCACGACTCTAACTGGAGACGATTTCTTTTCCATTTTCTGCAGCAGCAGCTAGCGCAGAAATTTCGTCATCCTTGAGTGTAGGAGATGAAATCGGTTCGGTCAGCTCAAATACTCTTCGTCGTGACTGGAGGAGTAGCAGGGAATATCCTACTGGAAGTCCTTTGACTACCGTGACTGCTGAAAACCTTCCTGCCATGACTGCTCCTTCTTCTAATAAGCGAGATTCTCTTTGGTGCCACTTCGCTGCACCCGAGCACCCACGCGGCACAACCTTTTTACAAAACATCATTTTTCTAAAGAAAATGATTTTCACCCTCAGCCTGGTTTCGCAGAAGTGGGGACCATATTTGAATGTACGCAGATCTCTTATACAGGTGATGAAAGAGGACACTGTGCAGCCATGCCTGCTTTGCAAAGTGGTTGAACAAATGACCTTACTAACATGACCTTTCTGGTTTGATTTACATTTTATTAAACCTCGGATGTTGAGCCAATAGTAATATGTAAAGAGAAAAGGACCTATAAGTTACTAGTTATGACTAACAGTTCACCAGGGTAACGAGATAATATACAGTCAGATAGTGCGACAACGAGGCACGAAAATGACAAGGATATTGAGACATCTGACGACCTGACACCTAGCTCCATCACATCTACGAAGCGCAAGCCAACAACCTTCCAACTTGGAAGGCTCAGGTGCGGAAAGTTTGCGCTTTGCGGCCGACCACGAACATTCCCCACAACAGCAACAAGAGGTTCGGAGTACTGAAAACATTTTAATTCCTTCTGACAGCTGTTTCGGTCATCAGAGACCTCATCAGAGAAGGTAGAATGTTGAATGACTTGACAAAGAAATAGATCACCTATTAATTTTTATACTGACTCTTGCAACAAGATGGCGCGTCAATAAACGGCCGCATGATACTCAAAGTGTGAAAATAAGGTGTAAAACTCAAGGACTAGTTGTTATTGTTAAAATCAAAGGAACGTCGGGATAGAGCGGATAGTTATGCCGGATACTGCAGCACAGCACAGATACGGTAGTCATGCGAGTGGCCCATCTGGCATCTACTCGATTCACTCCCTCACCATACTGCACCGTCGGCTCACTCCGTGCGCGTCCAGTTGAGTTCACGTACATATTACTAGTACGCAGTCATTATTGTAGAATTGTTGGCTGTTGTGTTGAAAAACACACGCACACAGCTGTCACGCGGGACGTCCATGGGACCTTGGCTCCATGACACTGCACTACGTTGTTTTCTTCACTCTTCTTCTCCTCTCCACTCCACTGCTGCTTGAACGGCACACAACTTGAATTACGTAAGAAGACAGTAAGCAGCCGCACACGGCACTTGAAAAGGGGATGCGCAATGAGTGAGCCGACGGTGCAGTATGGTGATGGAGTGCATGGAGTAGATGCCATATGGGTCTCTCGCATGACATCTCTAGCTGTGGTGCGCTGCAGTATCCGGCATATCTATTCCCTCTATCCCGACGTTCCTTTGATTTTAACAATATCAACTATTCATGTAGCAATGCACTTGCCACGACATGCTTTGCACTTTTCTACGCGCGCTGTCTCTATGGGTTCCGCGCTTTGCTTCCTTCTTTTATACTGCTGGGTTTTTTTCATGTCCACTTCATTCCTGATGATGGTCATGAAGACCGAAACGTTGAAACGATACCTCTAATGGATTTGTGTGAAATGCAGTGCTCTCTTGAGTGTAGGCAGGTTGCCTACAAACAATAACAACTATTCATTGAGTTTAAACCTTATTTGAGTCATACTTTGAGTATCAAACGCGCGCTTCTTGACGCGCCATCTTCTTTCAAGAGTCAGTATAAAATAGGTGATTTCTTTCTTTTTTGAATCATTCGACATTCTACCTTCTCTCATGAGGTCTCTGATGGCCGAAACAGCTGTCAGAAGGAATTAAAATATTTTTCAGTACTCCGAACCTCTTTTTGCTGTTGTGGGGAATGTTCGTGGTCGGCCGCAGAGCCCAAATGTGATGGTGGTGAAGTGGACGTAGTAATTTATAGGTCCTTCTTCTTTACGTGTTACATTTCATTGAAGATCATTCCCATCACCAAGAGACACATCAGGGATTGGGTACCTGAGTTCGGTTGGGTTGCGACGAGGAAGAGGATAGTGAATCTGCTCTCAATATCCAGCTCATTGTTGTCGAAATGGATAAAACGCTGTTTTAAGTACAGCTTTAAACACAAAGTCCTGTTGGCCAGCAAGGGTACTTGGTACATAATTAGAATCTGAAGGTAATAAGTCTTGGACATGGGAGTCCACTTGGACGGCTTTCAATGGGCCACTGTGTTGACAGTAGCCTGTGTACAGGCAATGTTCAGGTCATTTTCTCCTTCCCTCTATCCATGTTCCTAACAGTTTAAATTATTTACTTTGCTTGTTTCTTTATCAGAAATGCCCAGCTCAAAAACACAAAATCTGATTGCACTCACGCACAGACGAGAGAAGGAACTTGCAGCATTCCAAGATGGGCTCTTGACATCGCCGGAACGAGTGAGTTAAGATTTGCTTTATCTTTCACCTGGGCCTTGTCCCTCACTAGCTTATGGAAAGAGGCGGAAGTTGGTAACAATAGTGGTGTGTCTAGTTACTGAGCAGATACTGGTTAAATAGAGCACTCCTACAAACATATCCTGGGTTTGTCCAAAGAGGTATGGAACGGGTGCAAGCCAGTATAAGTCAAGTTCATTTGCGCATGGTTTTACATGTCAGCCGGTTGTGAAAAAATGGAATCTTCATCATGAAATCATCAGAATGGTGTGACAAAGCAAAAGTCTATGGCCGGACTCTGGCCTGGAAAAAATCATATGCTTGTGCGATAGAACACCGGTTGGTTTCAGCTGAGTACAGTAAGGAGTTTTCTCAGTTGGTGAATTGTCGTCAAGCGTTTTATTCCACATTCGCTCGCAACGATAGAGCTCTTCTGCCGCTCCCCAACCGCCACACACAGAGCAAAATTTGATCATATGGCAAAGAAAAAGAGTTCAGGAAGAAGACAATTTGAATGTTTGCACAACATGTAAATGTCAGTGGCATGACCTGCGCGCAGTGGCGCACACAGAGGTGAACACGCCAACTACAAAAGGTGCACTAAGACTATGTAGAGGTCGTAGAGGTCAAAATGGAAAACAGAAGTACTTAGCACCATTTTCCTCATTTTCAACTTGAAAACAAGGATTTGCAAAATCTGTACGCCTGGTAACGCCCAAGGCAATACCCCTAGGATGTGTATAAAGATCATCCATAATAACATAAAAGATGTATTTCTCGGACATCCTCTACCCTAGCAAATCCTCTTTGTTGCATATATCAATTGATTGGCTTCATACAGATTGAGAGGCTGACAACAGAGCTGATGCAAAGTTCATTTCAGCTGCAGCATGAGAAGAAAGAGGTAACGATGAGCCCTGCAAAGATGCCCAGGAAGACTTGGCTACCACCAGAGCAAATCACCGAGGTGAGTGACTGTTCCCTCTTTACTGCACACTCCAAAAAAAGGGACGGCTACAACTGCACAGTTCAGCAGCTGGCACATGGCAAGAAAGAAAATAAAGGAAAAAAGATTCACAGACAGTTCGAACACAACGTAAAAGTAAGTCTGAGAGAACGATTATCAGGTAGAAGAAGGAGTGATATTGCCTTCACACAGAGCTGGAAGGTTCGATGGACTTCTCATGTGCTCTGGATGTCAGTCGTGAGTCGGTCCAGTGTCAAGTCAAAGCGATGGAAAAGAATGAGCTCCAGTGTGGGGAGCAAGCCCTTTCTTAATTCAGAATAATAATTATATTATAAGAGCATAACGCATCAGTTATGACCAACAGCATAATGATCAAGATAATCTTGGGTATGTATAGTTCAGAATGGGCATTGTAGGAACTGGTAGGTGTGTACCGTAGACTACGCGTACCGAATCAAGGCTACATGGGCAGCGCCCAGGGACCGCTAGACGTGCGACCGGATTTCCTTGTCCACGACAGTACCAGACAAGTAGAACCATATGAACAAACTGTTGAATACACTCTGCATTGTTTTGCTTTGATTTACAATTGTGATTGTGATCTACGATAAGACTTATCAAGAGCTTTTTCCTGTACTGTTGTTTCTTGTGTGTGCTTCCAGGATGGCGACACTCTGTTGCACAACGCCGTCTGGGGTGGAATCGAGGAGTTTCAAGCGTTGCTCGCTGCAGGGGCGGACTGTAACATCAAGAATACGGTAAAGAACCGGATTTAGAGTGTCATGAACCATGCTGATCCTGTTCTGCATTACACTGTAAAATTAACTGCTTCCAGCATGGCAACACTCCCTTGCACCATGCTGCCTGGGCAGAAAAAATCGATGTGTGCCAGCGCTGCTCGCTGCAGTGGCGGACTGTGACATCAAGAATGCGGTCAAGGACAGTATAATAGGATGTCATGAACCATGATGATTATGGTCTGTGCTTACAATGTACTACCGAGAAAAAACAACTCATGTGTTCCACAGACCCTCACCAAATTGGAATCCTTGCATGAAGGAGCAATTTTCAATCTACTGCCTCCTCAACACTGCAGTGTGGGCAGATCTTTGTCCCAGGGTGTTGTGTCTATTTTGTTTTAATTGGCCTAACTCCCGTTGCGTACAAGATAAGCAAGATTGGCATATTCTTGAGAGACGCCATCACGCCAGAATCTTTCACCTGAGCAGGTGCAGGCGGTACAATTTTGTGTTCCATCAATTACATTTATTAGCTGCTAGTATGTCGAAGTACAGGTAGACTCCGTCTAATTCGAACCTCAAATTGCCAGGCACTATATTCGAATTATCCGGAACTTCTAATTATCCAAAATGCAGTCCCATGTACTGATATGTATGTCAAAATGCTCGAAATTGCGTGCTGATTATTTTTGCATATTTTATTTGCAACAACGAAACATAAAAAAATAAAAAAATAAAGGAAATTATCGTGTCCATTCCAGAAGGGTACTCACGACTGCCGCTAACACCCGGTAAACCCTAGCGGCAGATGCAGCGCCTTACAGTGGGGTGAGTGCAAAGGCTCACTACCACTGGCACAAGTGCCATAGGTGGTCATGAGCAACGAAATGAGTTCATTTCACCAAAACACTGGATCGACATGAAGTCATTGGACATTATTTTCATCTTCTATTAAGTTCTAGTGAAGCTGTTTTCAGTCGCTGCAGTTGTCCTGAAACGATTTCAACGCAAAAGAACAGTGCTGCCTTCTCTGCGCCATGAAAGCCCGTTGGAGAGCAGCACAGTCGTTCTGAAGAACGGAAGTGGAGCATAGGCATAGACAATTTTTACGACTTCCAGTTGTTCTTCAGTCCTAAACTTCTTTGCGCATGAGCTGGCGCGGCATGACAAGCCATTGAGATCCGCGAAGGGAGCCAACCACCTGGAAGAAGTCGCCTTCAATCAAATCTTTGCACTTTGCCTTGCACTGGCTTTGATCAAATTTCGAGAGAAGGTCGGTTTCTTCAACGCTATTGTCGATCCTGGAGCGGACCAGGGATCAATTTCTGAGTTACTCTTGGCTAGAAAAGGAGAAAAAATGAACTTCGAATTACGAGTAGAGCAAAATCCATCTCACTTCGAAATAAGCGCTCGAAGGACATAGTCACTGTACTGTAAACTGCTCTTCTGTACGAAGACAGAGTTCGAATTATCCAGCGGGCGCACTTTTCGTACTTCGAAATATGCATTCGAATTTAACTTGAAGTCACTTGCAGAAGATCGGTACGAAGAAAAATTTCAAATTGCACGGAATGCTAGAATTATACCGTATTCGAATTAGAGGGAGTCTACCTGTACAAGAACTTGGAATGACTTCGGGAGGAGTAGAAAAGAGAACTTCGGGTGCATGATCTGGAAACCGAAAAGCAAAAAGTTGCACAAACTTGTTTCGAGAGCAAAGCAAAAAACCAGGGAAGTTAGGGAGCATCTCATAAGTTCGCATTTATTTTGCAAACGTAACGCATTTCGAATAGACTTTACCCCCCTACCTCCTCCCTCTATTCGAAAGTCTTATCGCACATTTTCTGTGCTTATCTACTGTACACGTCCATGCGGCCCCATGCTATGGTATGCTTATGTACATGATTGTACATGTATATGTACATGGATATGAATGTTTTGCTAGAGCGGTCGTGAATGGCATACAGTAGTACCACATTTACTGCGTACAAGTACAATCAATGACATGTACACGCACATAAACATAGTTCCTCCACAACAACTGTACTGCTGTAAACGCTGGCCAGGCACATGTACACGGTTTGATCAGGCTGGTGTGACATTTGACACCTCTGAGTGGCCTGCATGCATGTAGTGCAAGGGTTAGCTGATCTGCAAACACAGGTAGATCTCCACCAAAACACACTTATTTGCTGCAGGGATCTAGCACGGTAGTAGATTGTACAGTTCCAGAAAATGTGCGAAAAGTCATTTTTCTATTCGAAAAGGGCGCTACCCCCCTACCCCGTTTCGAAATGCGTTATGTTTAGAAACAAAATGCGAACTTATGAGATGCTCCCTTAGGGGTCGTCCGCAATTATCGAAAGTTTTTTCCAATCTATAGTAGCTTCGAAAGTGGGTGGGTGGATTGAAAAACTTCCGAAATGACACGTGCGCTTGCCACGTGTACGTCTACGTGTAGCTCCTGTTTTCCACGGGCGGCTGCGCGCGAACTGTCTACTACAAATATTTTTGTAGTGCTGGCAGTTTCTGCGCCCCCACGCGCGCTTCCTTGGCTGCTCCTGGCCCGGGGATCATAAAGTTCGGCGCATTCGACGGAGAGTCGACACTTTCTATTTTTGAGTTTCACTGTCTCCTTCGTCCAGAGTACCGTCTTCCATGCACTGAAAGGCGGTGAAGAAGCAGCCCTTTTCAAAACCGCTGGTGACTCTGATTATTACAGAACAATAAATTGCTTGTGGCAGTTGTCCAAGACGACGAACAAGGATGTATTCTTTGCCGAAGCGAAAAAGGAATGGACGAGTAAGTTTGCCAAAGATGCGACAGCCAGGCGAGAATTGTTTGATTCGGCGAAGAAATTGGAGGGCGATGTGAAAGTTTCCGAGTCTTTCGTCGTCCACAAGGAACCCGGCGAGTCGAGTAGTTCAGCGTGCGGACCGTCACCGGCCCCGGCGCATCGACGGCGAAGCCCACCCTCGTCCTTTGTGAGGGGATTGGCGTCGACGCGGACAGTTTCTTCACCAGCGAAGCATGGACCAGCACTGATTGAGTTTGTTCTATATGTGTTGGGTTGTGTGTCCATCAATAATATTTTATTACGGACTGGGGGGGGGGGGGGGTGAGGAAAAATTTGAAGCTACTACGGATTGGAAAAAACTTTCGATAATTGCGAACGACCCCTTAGGACTTCTGCAAGTTGCCTTTCTCATTTTGTTCCTTGCGCTGCTCTATTTCAACATAATAGAGACGTTATGAGTATCCGACATGTTGACAGGGTGCATGGGCAACTCTGCTCGGTTTTGGCCCACGGCTGATTCAGTTGACGTGACTTTTCTGGAAATCATAAGTAATACCATACTAGACATGTACTACAAATCTGTGGACGTATGAACTTGGCCAGTTTTCACTCTACAGTAAAACCTGGTGTAAGCGAACTCTGGTTTTAGCCACCATCTGCTTTTAACCAGCATTTTTCCATGCATGGACAGTTCTACAAGGTAACTGCACCTGCCTTGCGTGACAGTGACCGTCTAATAGTGTACCAAATGCCATATTGGACCTGCACACAGCGACCAAAAAAAATGCCAGACCCACCAGGACCAAACCCAATGAAAATACTGTCTTGGACATGGAAATCCAGTCGAATGACCGGGACTGGCGCTCTCAATGTGGACAGAACGTTGCATGCAGTGCACATGTTTATCCGATATGACCAGCGCACTGCATGTGTGTACCGTAGACCACGCATACCGAATCAAGGCTGCATAGAAAGCGCCCAGGGGCCGCTAGACGTGCCAAAGGATTTCCATGTCCACGGCAGTACCAGACAACTAATACCATATCAACCAATTGTTGAATTCCACTCTGAATTGTTTTGCTTTGATTTACAATTGTGATTATGATCTACACTCAGCCTTCTCTAGAACTTTTTTCCTGTACTGTTTTTTCTTGCATGTGCTTCCAGGATGGCTGCACTCCGTTGCACCATGCCGCCATGAGAGGTACAATCGAGGTGTGTCAAGCGTTGCTCGCTGGAGGGGCGGACTGTAACATCAAGAATACGGTAAAGAACCGGATTTAGAGTGTCATGAACCATGCTGATCCTGTTCTGCTTTACACTATAAAATTAACTGCTTCCAGCATGGCAACACTCCGTTGCACCGTGCTGCCGGGAAGAAAAATCGATGTGTGCCAGCGCTGCTTGCTGCAGGGGCGGACTGTGACATCAAGAATGCGGTCAAGGACAGTATAATAGGGTGTCATGAACCATGATGATTATGGTCTGTGCTTACAATGTACTAACGAGAAAAAACAACTCCTGTGTTCCACAGACCCTCACAAAATTGGAATCCTTGCATGAAGGAGCAATTTTCAATCTACTGCCTCCTCAACACTGCAATGTGGGCAGATCTTTGCCCAAGGGTGTTGTGTCTATTTTTTTTTAATTAGCCTCACTCCCGTTGCGTACTAGATGTGCAAGATTGGCATATTCTTGAGAGATGCGATCACGCCAGAATCTTTCACCTGAGCAGGTGCAGGCGGTACAATATTATGTTCCATCCATTACACGTATTAGCTGCTAGTATGTCGAAGTACAGGTAGACTCCCTCTAATTCGAACCTCAAATTGCCAGGCACTAAATTCGAATTATTCAGAACTTCTAATTATCCAAAATGCAGTCCCATGTACTGATATGTATGTCAAAATGCTCGAAATTGCGTGCTGATTATTTTTGCACATTTTATTTGCATCAACGAAACATAGGTGGTCATGAACAACGAAATCAGGTCATTTCACCAAAACACTGGATCGACATGAAGTCATTGGACATTATTTTCATCTTCTACGAAGTTCTAGTGAAGCAGTTTTCAATCGCTGCCGTTGTCCAGAAACGATTTCAACGCAAAAGAAGAGCGCTGCCTTCTCTGCGTCATGAAAGCCCGTCGGAGAACAGCACGTCGTTCTGAAGAACAGAAGTGGAGCATAGGCATAGACAATGTTTACGACTTCCAGTTGTTGTTCAGTCCTAAACTTCTTTGCGCATGAGCTGGTGCGGCATGACAAGCCATTGAGATCCGCGAAGAGAGCCAACCACCTGGAAGAAGTCGTCTTCAATCAAATCTTTGCACTTTGCCTTGCACAGGCTTGGATCAAATTTCGAGAGAAGGTCGGTTTCTTCAACGCTATTGTCGATCCTGGAGTGGACCAGGGATCATTTTCTGAGTTACTCTTGATTAGAAAAGGAGAAAAAATGAACTTCGAATTACGAGTAGAGCAACTCCATCTCACTTCGAAATAAGCACTCGAAGGACATAGTCACTGTACTGTAAACTGCTTTTCTGTACGAAGACAGAGTTCGAATTATCCAGCGGGTGCACTTTTCGTACTTCGAATTATGCATTCGAATTTAACTTGAAGTGACTTGCAGAAGATCGGTACGACGTAAAAGTTCAAATTACATGGAATCTTCGAATTATTCCGTATACGAATTTGAGGGAGTCTACCTGTACAAGAACTTGGAATGACTTCGGGAAGAGTAGAAACAAGAACTTCGTGTGCCTGATCCGGAAACCGAAAAGCAAAAAGTTGCACAAACGTGTTTCGAGAGCAAAGCACAAAAGCAGAGAAGTTAAGGCTTGCAAGTTGGGTTACTCATTTTTAGGGCTGAAACGATTATACCGTTTACTCGGTATTTACTTGTTAGAAAGTATACCGAGCGAGTATTTTTGCTCGCTATCGGCTTATCGGCTTTAAATGAGTACATATTTGGATGATACGTGTGTAAATATTACTACTATTCGTCCACCGGCGGCTCGCGTTTGGGGCCCTTCTGCAGTGATGTACAGTCTAGTCAGTCAGTGCAGTCATGCTAGTTGACTTGGTACGGTGCACTGCGGAACTACTTGCACGGTCTACAATATCTACTCGGGTCTATACGTCCAGTCACACTCACAGACTGTCAGTGTTTACTGCACTGTGAGTGTGACTGGCCGTGAACCATGTGAACTGAACTGCACTTGTAGACATTCTACGGTGCACTGCGGAACGACGAGCACAGACGAAATACTAGTTCCACAAGGTGATGAGGTGCAGATTGACGGACTTACCTTCTATCTGACACTTGTAGTTTTCCTTTTACTTGTAGTTCGTCTTCTCTCTGACACTCGTAGTTATATTGTAGGTAGGTATCGTCTGACTGCCATGGCGTTTGCCAGGCAAGCAAGGTCTGGTGTGTGGACGCATTTTGATCGCGGTGTGGAGAGGCACACATGTAAACTTTGTAAAAAGACTTACTCTCGACAGAGCGGAACCAGCAACCTGTTCGCTCATCTGAAATCGGCTCACCCTTCAAAGTTCCAATTGGTTCACTCCTCGGGTGCGACTACTGAGTCAGATGTTAGTAATGCGTCATCGGTGGCAGCGGAGAAGCGCAGCAGCAGCAGCAGCTTGTCTAGTTGGGTTGTGATCTCGGCAACTTCCACCAGTCGTCCCTGTTCGTCCGGTCGCTCCGAGGAGCCCGCCGACTTGATTCTTGATTGGATCGTGGACTCCACCAGACCACTGTCCATCGCTGGCGATCGTGGGTTTGTTGCTCTGATGAAGTTTGTGGAGCCTGCCTTCCCATTCCCGTCGCGAACTCATTTCAGTTCGCTGCTGCGCAAGCGCCATGAAATAGGGATCGCTGACCTGAAAAAGCTGTTGGAGAATGAGGGAGTGTGTGGCATAGCCCTCACCACCGATGGATGGACTTCTATGGCGACGCAGAGCTATGTCACATACACTGCACATTTTATTCCCGTAGCTATGCAGAAGACGTTACTTCAGTAACGTCTGGCGCTAGCCAGGGTCCACGCAGCTTTAATTTGGTATTTGTGTGTTTGTGTGTTTGTTTGTTTGTGTCACGCCTGGCGCTATCCGTATCTGACGGCAAAAAAGCATAGAATGTTATAAATTTTTTAATTCTCCTTTTTTCTCAGGCATATCCTGGGATTCGAACCCGCTCTATCGCCCTACATACATTCCCCATACACTTCGCATTCATACCCATTCTTCCAAGTTGCTTTACGTTATTATCTTGCGTTTGAAAGCCCTATTTGAATATTGCGGGCAGCTGTATGTGGCCAGCTGTGTTTGATGGTACGGTACGGTACGGGAGACGGTGTCGTATTACCCTCGATCGTACCTGTCCCCTACCTATCCCCTACCGTACCGTGCCATCAAAGACGGCTGGCCACAATGCATATTCAAATACGGCTTTCAAATGCAAGATCACAATGTGAAACAACTTGGAAGAATTTGTATGTATGCGAAGCGTATCGGGGGATGCATGCAGGGCGCGCGATAGTGCGGGTTCGAATCCCAGGTTATGTCTTAAAAAAAGGATTTTTTTAAAGAATTTATAACATCCCTATGCTTTTTTTTTGTCTAGGTCATCAAGGCAAAAAAGCATAGCTTAGGGCCCTGAGCTTCCAAGCTCTCTCGTTGACAGAGATTGGTCTCTGGTGAGCTGTTTCCTGCAGACTAACCAATTCCACGGCAGCCATACCAGTGTACAGCTGGCTGCACATCTGCTACCCGTTGTGGATGCTTTCGGCATTCCACGCCAACAAGTGAGCTGTGTGACTCACGATGAGGCCCGAAACATGGTTGCCACTGCAGCTATTTTGCGTGATGACGATATCGACAACCAGGTCTGCATGGCCCACATGCTGCAGACCGTCATCAGGAACGCCATCGACAAAACGAAGGGCCTGGAC